AAAACTGCAATAAACAAGTAACATTGCGCTTATGCATACATATCTTGAAACGAAATGACTCAAATAAACTTAACTTGAGAACAGGTTGCAAGTGAATGCAGTTTGTCGCGAGGAAGGCGATGGTTGTCACAACGATGCCTTAAGAAACTTTTTTTCGCGTTTTGAATCTAAAATCGATTCTGCAGTGGACACCCAATCTAATAATTCAAAGTGCTTATGCTAAATCCTTATCCTAAAAGCGACGAGGGTTAGGAGTTGGAAGCTGTATAAAACGCGAAACACTTAATACCCACGTAGTTCACTATTTCAAAAGATAAGTGCAAGGACCTATGCGAAAAAAAACACAGTTCATTGAGGAAGATGGGGTGGCGGTCAGCGCTGCGCTGTAAGGCAAATGGAAGACATTTTTTAAAATTAAGTTTTCAAGAAATATGCAGATGCAAAAACCAAATTACTTGTAGCACTTTCTTTTTTGCGCTTAAATTACTTACTGCTGTTTACCCAGTCCTTTTTAATGTCGATTATCAAAGCCATACCCGTAGGATAAAAATAAAAGTGCGTCAAAAATTATGGCTGAAAAAAAATCATCCAATTCTTTTTTGAAAGACGGGCTTCTCAACAAACGTCAAGAGCAAATGATGAGTTAACTTTGAAATGAGAACCACACAGAAGATTTGAGTGCGTATAATTGCAGCGTAGGATTGTCGGGCCCGAAGCACATTGGCGGCGTTAGAGTCTTGGGCCTTACTACTGTACCAAAAAGTCATACATTCATGTAGCACCACGGGCTGCAGTGGTCGCCGCTGTTGTCTTCTTCCTCTTCCCTAATGTCACCTCCCTTTGGTGTCATTTCTCTCTCCATCTTTCACACCAAAAAAGCAGCTAACCAAACAGCGCACTGAGGCCACCAGTTTGAAGAATTTTTTTTAAGATTAACAACCAAAGTGACATTTATAAATTTATTAGTGAGCAAAAAATAATTGTATCTCTGTTACCTTTTACAGCTGACGACTCAGAAAACTACAACAAAATCTCTCTTATGAAACGGAAAGCGCAGCTGTTTTTGGACTGTTTAGCCAGAATTGAAAACAGTTGTCGTCGTTACAGAAATTTTGCGAATAATCAGGGTTTTTTAATGGTACATCTTAAACAATAAATGAGCAACTTTCTGTACATAATGTCGTTTTGGATAAAGCAAAAATCAAATTCCAAAATATTCAATTTTTCTGCATCTTTGCAGCTTAGATCACAAGTTGTTTTGTTTAGGAACGGCCTCTAATTCTGGCAGCCAGAAACGGGCATTTGGAAATTGTAAGATACCTAATTAAGTATGGAAAAGCCGACGTCAATGTACCTGGTGTACATCTGGTAAAGTTAATTAGCACTGAGGCTAATAACTTATATTCTTCAAATATGGTTTTTGCAAGTAAAATTTACAGGAAAAAATGTTTCCTGTTTTAAAAATTCTTACTGGTTGCAGTGACCAATTAAATGCGTGTAATAACCTTCTTTTTCTTCAGGATTTTTTTCTTTTGTTGTCTTCGTCGTAAATTTGTTGTGGCTAGAAAACACACGACGATAATTTCTACATCAAAGCTTTTGTTCTCGTATAATATCTCAGTAAAATAATAAATAGTCTTTTCTTCAGCGAACAGCTTTGTGGTCAGCCTGCAAAAGTGGCTACCTCGATATTGTGAAATATTTAATTGAGAACGGTGCTGACGTCACTGAAGATTTGGTAAATTTTTAAATAGAATAATTTTCCTACCTTTACTTAACGCACGATTTATTTTAATCTTACAAATCTCGTCTATAACCTTGGTTGATTTAAGGCAAGAATTAACATAGAGGTTTTTGCTATAATAAATTCTGTAAAAGGAATATAGATTTTTTTCAAGGCGTCTTTTTCTTTATTTGAACTATAACCAGTGCAATTTTTTAAATTTTTTCTTTCAAAAAACTGTTTTTGCAAATCCTGTTTAACAATAAGCGAAAATAATAGTTTTAAATTTTAGATATCTTCTCTGCTGGTTGCTTGCAAAAACAGGCGTGTGGAGGTCGTAGAGTATTTGACTGAAAAATTTTCTTGCGAAATCTGTAAAGGCGGAATTCAGGTAATTTTTTAATAAAATCTGAAAATTAGTAAGACTAAATCTTATAATTAAGGCACTCTCTTGCACACGGCTGTGGGACACGGTTTCGCATGAAAATTTTTGCAAACAGTTGTTACAAAGTTGTCTTCACTAATGAACTAAATTACATCATATTTCCTTTGTAGTTTTCAGTCTACTGACCGAATGGGCACTCTAGAAATGAAATTTTTTTTTCTTTTTTTCTACTCGTTCGTACTTTTGTTCCAAAAGAAAAATTTTATATATTTTTTTGTCTTCCTGTAAAGAAGAGTTACTTTTTTTTATCAAAATCTATTTTCTTTAGGGGATACTAGGATTACTTCAACATAGAGTCTGAACACGAACTAAATTGCCAACGGGATCAAACATTTAGTTTTTGGTGTGACGTTAGTAGTGGGGCTTTAAATGGGGTTTCTCATAAGTTTTTGTTAGAAGCATTTGATAAGTTTAGGGAATCAGTCTTTTTCTCCTCATTTTTTTTAAGTTAAGAAAATTTTCATTTGCACCTTTATTCATTTTTAGAATAATTTGTCTCTTTATTTACTACCTCTTTTAACGGCTCTATTTAGAATTAAAATTCCAGGAATTGTTCACGATCTCGAAAGATTACTTTTGATATTGCTTTAGTAACATAGGGAGTTGAACCACATTTCTCAATACCATTTCTTTCTAGTTTAATATAGGGGTGATTAAAAATAAAGTACCGCGACGAATGAAATCTCCAATAGTAAAAAACCAAATGTGTAATGGAAGGGTAACACATATGGTTTCCATCATTCAACAAAATCTCTTGTTGTTAGTCCAGTTATCAAAGGTCTAGAACTCTACAGCGCTTGCTTCATTGTGAAGTTACTTCAAATTTTCAGGAACTACTAGTGCATAGAGCGGTTTTTAAAAGATACGATACTGAAATCATAAACTGTCTATTGGACATTAAAATAACCAACAATGAAGGAGCCAAAGTAGGCAACTGTTACTGCAGTGTAGAATGTCAAGTTTTGAAAATTTTCACCTAAAGTTTGGAAATTTGAACGCAATAGAAAAGAATTAGTTGTAAGAGAGTTCGTCAAAATTGTTTTAGAATTAAAAGCAAATTTCAGACATTTATAAAGAGCGCAGTGTTAGAAAATAAGGGAACTTTGCAAGTGTGTGATTTTTGCATGCCTATTATTCAATTATTCAAATAATCCATCTCAGGTTAAAGGCCGTTCAGCACTAAGGGCCGCAGCAGAAAAAGGGGACATTGAAACTGTGCGAACACTTGTCGACAATGGTGTTGATGTTCCACCGGAAGAAACGTTTGCGGTAATTTAAAAGGCTCAGTTGGTAGTTTAACGAGTTTTCAGCTAAACGCGAGAATAAAATTATTTTTCTTCACAGAATCTAGCGATTGATTGAAGATTTATTAGTCACAGCTTTTTTCTGACAAGATTTTTTTGTTCACTATCAGATTTGGAGTTTACAAAGTTTGCTACACCGACTTCATTTTGCTTCATGTTGCCTTCTTACATGTTTCACTGCATTAGCCTACGAAACTGTTTCTTTACCTGCCGACAGCCTAATTAATTAGCATCTGATAAGCTAACTTAATATGTAAGTTTGCTTTGTGCGTACTGCAGGACCCTCTTATCTTTGGGAAGAAAGAGCTGGGTCTAAGAAGAACCAGGATTTGTACTTTTATAAGCAAATTACAATAGCTTGAACTAGTGTAATATAAAAATTTTGGGAATTTAGAACGGTTCGATATGGCTAGCGGCTAAGAATGGGCACCTGACAGTCGTGAAGTATTTGGTGGGAGAAGTGATTGAAAAGAATAGGAACAAAATAAATTTGGTATACCCTTTTGAAAGTATAAGCAGTGTGTTATGTAATATTTATTTCAAATTGCTTCTATTTTTTCACATTGAACCGTTGAGTTTAAGAGAAATGTCGGGTTTTGTGGTGTTTTTGGAACAGTTTCTCATAGCACATTGCTTTAAAGACTGTTTTTTAACATAAGTTTCTTTCTTCTATCATAACATGTTTTAATGCGTTCACTAAAACATCAAGTTAGTTTTATGAATAAGAAATAAAACTAATTGGTAACTTGTTAACAAAAAGTACTAGAGCAGAAATTGTTTTGTGTCGAAAATATATTAGGGAAACAAATTGCGTCTTTACTACTTACTTAGTTCACAGTAGTGAATTTTTAATTTTAGCAAATCCCAGCATGGATTGCAACTTCCTCAGGACGTCTCGAAGTATTAAAATATTTGATAGAAAAAGAAAATGAAATTTATGGGCGAGATTTAGATTTGGTAAGTGTCTGGTGAGGTTATGACCTTCTATACGTTTAGCTTTGAAAGATTTTCAATCTAATTTTAACTATATTAACGTGCACATGTTTTTCTTTATTGGCCGCAGCAGTTTATTTTGCTGACTTTTTAGCTCAACATTTAATTGTTCCTTCTTTTTTCTTATTAGTATTTTACAAGCCAAAGTTGATAAATTAAAGATTGTATCTGTTGACGGTCGGAAGTCGACTTAATGTTGTTTGACGTCTACTTTTGAGAAGTTTATAAATTTTTAGACCGTAGCGAAGAAATTTGGGAGCAATTTTTTTAAATTTCTATTGTTATTTGTTTATTTGATGAAAATAATTTTTGTGTCATTTTGGACAATTCTTAAATCGGCAGCGCCATCAAACGGTGAAGTATTGGAATATTTGGAAAAAGAAATTCGGGCTTTATCAACTAATAATATCAAACCTCATGTTAATGATGGATATGAATCCGACTCAGAAGAAACAGATTTATTGCAAAAGAAGTCTGACGGTGATGTAGAGTAAAGAAAGGAGAAAGAAATTAAAATCATTCTGTGTAACCGAGCGATATAAAACTACTTTTGCTGTCAATCGTCGCCAGTTGTCGTTTTGTGAAAAAAAAATATCTTAGGTAGAGTCTGAATGAAATAAAAAAAAGAACTAAATTACACTGTTCTTTTTTCCTTTCAGTTTGGCACTTTTCGAAATGAAGATATATATCTTAGTGCTACTCGTATTCAACAGAACAAGTATTTGATAAATCAGTTAAATCATTATGAAACCACATATTGTCTAAAGTTTTTAGATAATTTTGAATAGAGTAACAGAATAGAATTTTTGAAATAATTTTTGGATTAGTAACTTTTTTTGAAATTGTTAAAGTGTTACTTTTTGTTACAAAAACTTTGTCAGATTTTGGATTCCTGAACATTTTGAAAAGAAAATGATGTTGATAGAAAAGTGGTATTACAATTTAATAGAAATAACTGTAAAATATTATTTATTACAGATTTAAATTTAATGTATAAACTTAAGATTGTTCAAAAATTTTTTTTGTATATGATTGTATTTTTTTTTCGCAATATCTTTATTTTTCTATACTACAAATCAAAAAATAAAGTCATTTTATGCTGAACAGGAACTGCTTATAAGAAAATTTTTTTGATACTTACTCAAAAGTTACGTGTTGCAAATAAAATAATCTGCGTTGTTCACACCAACACTTGACATTTGATTTATTTCAGCAAATGTTTCTTTCTACAGTTTGCTCACCTATTAATTACTGGTAAACACTAATATAAAATTTACCTAAACAGCATGTAAAGAATGTGGAAGAGAAAATACAGGATTTGAAGTGAAGAAAATAAACACTTTAAATGTGGTGATAACAGTCAATTTACAAAAAAAAAAAAAAAAAAAAAAAAAAAA